TTTTTTTTTGGGGGGGGGGGGTTTCACTGCTTATGGGTTATAGAGGCTTTTAATTAAAACTGACAATTCATAAGCACTTTTATCATCACAGTCGCAAAAACAGGGCCACAAGGCCTGCCCCAATCACACAGGAATCTTCATACATCGTTCTTAAATATATTAAATCCTACTGGATTATATGTAGGTCTTGTGATCTGTGTGGATTCATTTTTCACGGATGTTAGTGCAATTCCTTACTTTCCCGTCTATATTACGCCTATGTATGTGTAATTCGTTGTAAATAGTGGAGTTACTTAGTTATCTTGTAGTCACCCACTCCGATTTAAAAATTAATTTCGCCCGATTCAGTTTAACTTTTCTGCTCACCTACTAAAGACATGCATAATATACACGTACAATAACTGATTCCTACCACGACGGCACTTCCGCAGTATGAATGCGTGAGCTAAAGGTCCTTGGACGTAACGTCTGTGAACCGTTCAGTTTACTTACGTGCGGGGTATTGTCCGGCCTTCTCACTGTCGATGCACTTATTTGGCGGGAGAGAACTGAACCGCACATTCCTATCAGACGAAGAACCTATTTAACTATCCCTGATGACATACAAAGGGGGCACGCGGTAGCGTAGTTGGTCGAGGCACTATGCTACAAGCCGGAAGGTTGTGGGATTGAATCCCGATGAGGTCATTGGATTTTTTTTTTCAATTTACATAATCCTTCCAGCCGCAATATGGCCCCGGGGTCGACTCAGCCTCTAACAGAAATGAGAACCAGGAATATTCTTGGAATGTTGTTGGTGGTAAAGGGAGGCCGGTGCGTAAGGCTGACAACCTTACCGCCATCTATGAGCCGATTGTCTAGAAAATGTTGGAACCTCAACATTTCACAAACCTACGAGCCTCCACGGCCTTTTACAGGGATACCTTACTCATGGAGCTGAGCCCTTCTTGAGGAGCTGCCAATTCTGCAGCTACTCAAGAATTTTTATGCATTTTATGGAACCCGAAGGTTCATTGCCGTGTTCACAAGGGCCCCCCACCGGTCCCTATCCTGTGCCAGATCAATCCAATCCATATCATCCCATCCTATCTCTCTAAGATCCATTTTAATATTGTCCACCCACATACGCCTTGGTCTCTTTCCTTCTGGCTTTCCCACCAATATCCTATACGCATTCTTCTTCTTCCCATTCGTGCTACACGCTCTGCCCATATCATCCTCCTTGACTTGTCATTCTAATTATGCTTGGTGCAGAGTGCAAGTTATGAAGCTCCTCATTATGCAGTTTTCTCCAACCTCCTGTCACTTCATCTTTCTTCGGTCAAAATATTCTCCTCAACACCCTGTTCTCAAACGCCCTCAGTCTATGTTCCTCCGTTAATGTCAGAGACCAAGTTTCACACCCATACAGAAAAGAGTGGTTTGGCATAGAAAAATGAGGAAAATTATAAAATCTTTTTCCACTAACGTCGTGCCCAGTGACATGTGTATCACGGAATATGTCATTAAACTTCATAATAGACGCCAACAGCAAGTCAAATTGATCGAATCGAAATGCAGATAAGATTAGTTCACTGACGAAAACAGAGAAAAAAGCACTTACCACTGGTTTGGCGGACAGTCCTGGTGACAAACTGCAAGGTCGACGCTTATGCAAACAAAACCACTACTTGAAGCTAACACACTAAATGAGTTTCATGCATAACCACACTTAAATGGCACGGTACACGATCCACTGCAATAATATCGATATATTCTTAACAACTGAGAGAAAGCTTTTGTTGGTTTCACTCGTGATCTTGTTTATCGATCAACTCTTCTGAGAAATAAATTATGGACAACACTGATTATGAATTAGAACAGAACGAACACCATTTTACATACTAAATAAACTGTAATAAGAATTCTTCGATACTTTCCACTCGTAACAAAAAGAAAAAAGAAGAAATGGCGCCAGGCATCAAGGAAAAGATGGTGTTAATTATGGCTTCATAGTCCATACACGTCTGCCCATGCTCGTAGAGCAGAGAGTAACATCTCCTAAGACCACACAATTTTTATCTTCAATTTTCACTTCTGTGTTTCTATTCAGGCAACACGACTGCACTTACCGGTAATTCACTTTTACTAGTAAGACTTTCTGTACTAAAAGCAAGCAAGATGATAATTATCACTGGCCAAGTATACAATTACAGCATCCCACCTTAATTACAATTCAATATTAGGTATACTTTTAAAACTGTTAACCAATAAAATTTTACCCCGATTTTGAATTGGATTATATTGCCAGCTGAACCTTAATCACGTAAATTCTATGTACACACCGCCGACGCTGAGAACTACTGGCGAAACGTCACTTTCGACTTAACATTTTGAAGAATCAGTTTCGTCTAATTACTATATAAAACTTCAGTTCCTACTTCAGGAAATAAGCCGCGTCTCCGTTTTAATGACAATTTTGTTAATGCAGTTTCGGAAAAGAAATGCCGATTCTCCTAAGAATAATATGGAACACACATGTACACTCCGTAGAAAATATTCAGACTTGTAAACGTGAAAGCATATGGTAAATATAATAACCACAGTGTTTCGAAGGCTTAACATAAGAAGCAATTCAAATACACAACTCTCTCAATAGCGGGATTACATCTCTTATAAAAATATTCTTCAAAACGTATTCTAACCTCCAAAACAGTCTCTGCTTTCTTCCTATCTCTCGAACAACAGAAGCACGTGACACTAGTACAGAACACGCGGACAGGTACTAACGTGGCGCGCTTTGCAACTACTAACACCGACCTCTTTCCCTGAAAGCCAACCGCAGACTGCCTTACAACCTCTGTTCACGGTAGACTTTTTACTGCATCGTACTGCATCCAAGCGGCCGCTCCACAACTCTATGCAGCCCGATGCAGGCCACGATTTGCAAGTCCCCAAGTACAGTCATTTCAATGAATTATGGCCTCTAACATGATGTCCCTACTAGGCCCAAAGCATTAAGATGTCAAACGAGCACGTCATCTTTAACACTTGTCGAGACCAAAACTCGAATCTCTTGATCCTCGGATCATCCTAGACATAGGAAGAAACCTATACTTTCTTACTTGTGACCGTGCCATAACGCCGGCAATTTGTTCCTGTCTTCTCACATCGGCGGACCTCATTCAGTACCAGTTATATTCATATGGTATTTGTGGTGGACGAAGTGGCACTGAGGTCGGTTTCCTCCGAGTACTTCGATTTCCCCTGTCAATTATCGTTCACAGATTTCTCCATTTCTCTCATATATCATCCGGGGCAAGTACAATTGGACAGCTTTCGGGTTAGGCTCAAGGGAGTCAGTCTCATAGCACCTTAAGAATAAAAGAAGTTCTTGCTTGTTCTTCTGTATGGTATTATACAGTCTAGATCTTTTGAACGGGGCAAAACGTAAGAAACCATCCACATTACACCTCCGCCCGACAACGTAAGGACGTGTAAATCAGAGTAGAGTTGGGGGTCGATGTCTTCTGGGATGGGATGTATAGTGTGGCACATAGGTACCAACGTTCTGCAATAACGTGCTGCTTACATCTTAAGGGCAGCAGAGATCTCTTCTGTCCTGAAGATCCTCATTGTTGCCGACGTCAGAACCTCAAATCTCGCAACAATAAGGTTGCCGTTGTTGTTGTTGTTTTTGTTGCTGCTGCTGTTGTATTTGCAGGAATGTATGCCAAAGAAAATGATGGAATAGGAACCTGTTTGGCCCACATATGATGGATAAAGCAGACAAAGCGCGAAACTAGCTAGATGGTCCATGTTAAGAATGAACGGAACTTTACCACTGAACGCCTTAATTGAAATTTTAAATTTTAGCAGATGGAAGTTAACAACAATTTTAAGCTACATTTAAGGCAATTCGAATTCAAATTTGATTATTCTGGTGTCAGAACATCTAGAGAATAAATTATAACATAAATAATATTGCCATCCTTATTGCTGTTACTGCCTTTAATATTAATATCATGTCTTAATTAATTGTAAAAATTGTTTAACGTGGTGACACTACGTATTTCTAATAACCACCAGAAGCACCAGGATGAATCAATGGTGACAGCGGTAACCATTAATGCCATCTAGTGTTAAATTGTCACGCCTGTAGTGGCTCGATCTCTGCCATCTCTGCTACGGACCACGGTTGTGGAGAGTCGGACGTTTTTGGGACGGTGCATCAGCTGTTGTACTGAATTTGTATCCGACAAAAATGCTAGTATCTCGTGGTGCTGGCCCATTACGATGTATTTTTACGAAGTTAAATCAGTCGAATCTAAGACAAGGCACACAGCCCATCAGGAAAGGTCATGATGCCGTGTATGTAAAACGATATAAATAAAAAAAGATTAGTAGTATAGGTTATGGCAGGCATGTCAGTTCTTAAACCTGAAGTTTTAAAAATGTTTGGGGTTCTCTTTAAGATGGACGTATCGACAGCCTGTACCACCGCCACCGAAATACGTAAGGGTCCTGGCAGAGTGTGTAGGAGGGTATATGTGGTGGTGGATATTTTGGCATTTATGGCACGAGCCTGAGCACATAACTGTGAGTACTCGTATTCAAAGTAAACTGATTTTCAAGACTTCGCTAATTAAAATATATTTAATAGTTATGATTTATATTTTTGATTACCAATATGTACTAGCTGTTTCACTGTTGGTATAGTTATTTTGAAACTCCCACATCATATGTACGAAAAATATGCACCTGAGAGATTGCAAATTTTCCGTGAACTCTTAATAAATAAGGCCACGAAACTTCACATCTGCATGTACAACCAATCTGAAACTCAAAACGTGTATCTAAATACTCATTAGAATTTAAAAAAAGTGTAAGTCTTAATTGTACTTCAACAGAGAAGCATAAAAAATTCACTGAGTCCAAAACAGGAAGTTATTAATAATCATTGCAGCTAAGTTAATTATAAATAATCATTGAGACTGAGATAACTGACAGAAATTTTCCTTTTTATGAGTAAATGCACCCTGAATAAGTAAAACTTGAACAGTCACAATAAAAATATTATTTTTGGCAGAGACTGACTATGAAATGCATCAAACCTTGGGTATGATTGCTGTCCAGAGGCTTGCTGAGAAAGAGCTATACCACTTTGAACAGGAACAGAGAAATTTTAATTTTCAGTTAAGTCTTCTTTAGGCAATGAGTCATAATATATTGGGCTGCAGTCCTTCCAAAGGTGTGACTATAATTAAGTTATTATTGTGGTCTTTTTTATGGAGTTCTGTTTCTATATTTAGGGTGAATTTGAGTACCCAGATCCATCAAAGTGGACAGATGAGGAGCTTGGAATTCCACCAGATGACGAAGAATAGACTTTTGCACTCATTTGGTAGTTATTCTCAGTTTACATATTGTTTTAAATCAGTTCAGTGTCATGTGAAATTGTAATGCATTAGATTTACAAATACAACAGGTTCATAAAACATGCCTTAATTTATTCCGCATGAGACAAATTTCAAACAAGACAAGAATGGATATGAAAGTCTACACTAATGCCTCTAAAAAAATGCCACATTTAACAAATTCTTTCAATCTGTATGAAAACACACAATGTACAAGTAAATGTATATAAATTTATACATTTACTTACTATAAAGTTTTTTAACCTTGTGTAAAACATTTTTCTTAATTGATCATTTTACTGGTCTAACATAATATTAAATTATGGTTAGATTACTTTTTCCTTGTGCCTTTTTAGTATTTACATCAATCTGATTCCTTCAACATCACACATTTTAGTGCATTATAGTTATATTAACCTTGTTTAGATGTTTGACAGATTTTTTACATTACATGAATAATAGACAGTTGTAAGATTTTTTAATAGGCGCATCACCTAAAAAAACAAATGTTACCTGCTTATGGGGGTACGTGGTAGCATAGTTGGTTAACCTTTAAATGCCGGACTTCTGAAATGGTGGTAAGCTTGAGCTGGCCGGAGTTTATTTAAATGCCCGCTGCTGGTGCGCGTTTAAATGTCCGTTCCTGTTAGGGCACTTAAATAATTTTAAGCATTGTGTTTAGAAATGCTGTATCTAACTCAATGTTTATGATAAATGGATGGAATTAACTTTGTCTGTATCAGCAAAGGACATAGTCTCGCATATTATAATGGAAGATACAAAGAGTTTTAATCTTTTTCCAATTTTTTCCTTTAATTTTGATGTGTACTGCAAAAATGGTTTCCCATTTCTTCACAGAGTTTTTCTGCATTATAAATTCATTTCTGTTTGTAACACTTGACAAATTTTAGCAGTCCCTGGTATCATAAAACAGATGGAAGCAATATAATCATTTGATCTTCTGGTAGCACTGCTTACACTCTTCGGATTTTCGAATCTTTTGACTGAAGGACAGAAGAATGAAAGAATGGCCATTCAAGAGAAAGCTAGAGGGGTTCCTTCTTCAGTGCTAAGACCTTCCGTTATAGCTGCAAGAGATTATTGCCCTTTCTATGGTCGTGAACAGACAGTTGCATCGTGGCTGATATACAGAGTGCAATTTGTTTTCTGTGCGTTCATAGTGAAATCGAATACTGTAGTTTCATTTCAGCCTATATACAGGTATACATCAAGCAGATAATAACAAAAAAGGTATGTACATCGAATTTTACTATATATTTTGAACGCACTAATCTGCAGAATCTTCAATAAAAGTGCTGGCTCGTGGATGAGTTTGGGCATAACTCATATGTATATTCTTTTTTGCTGCTGTTCACTTATGTATCCTTTTAATTCCTCTATTATGGTTTTACTCAAGTCTGTTTGGTAATTACTATATTTAAAAATATATATTTAGGACTGTGCATGCACTTCTACTAGTGGTGTGTGCATGCGCTTCCACTAGCAGAGTTTAAGTGCCCGACTGGCCAAAACGGGGTACTTTGGCCATGATGACCATACTCATCACTGGCCCAATCGGGGCACTTTGGTCGTTAAAGGTTAAGGCACTATGCTACAAACTGGAAGGTTGTGGGATCGAATCCTGATGAGGTCACTGGATTTTTTCAATTTACCTCATCCTTCCAGCCGCAGTATGGCCCTGGGGTCGACCCAGCCTCTAACGGATATGAGCACTAGGAATATTCCTGGGGGTAAAGGGTGGCCGGCGCGTTAGGATGACAACCTCACCGCCATCTGTGAGCCGATTGTCTAGAAAATGTGAGAGCCTCAACTTCTCACAACCCTATAGGCTTCCATGGCCTATTACAGGGATACCTTTACTTTATTTTACTTACCCGTTTCATATTAAACATCTATGTATACAAGATTTAAAATTACCTTGGCAGTGTGACTATGAAGAATACCTCTTCTGAGGTGTGATGGTATGTAGTCTGGTAGAAGTTTACCAGCATTTCATAGGAATGATCCCAGATGATAGTATTGTTCATCTGTCTACTTGGTGCATATTTAACAAGATTATGTACTTCATTTATCCATTCCTCAGAGTCATCCAGAAATATAATTCTTATGTTAATAACTTAAAGCAATATAAAATTTAATAGAATCCATTTCCCAAGGTGACACTGACAATATATAACAGACCTTTCTGTAAAGAATTTTATGCTGTTCATTGTGGTCCATAAAATATGCAAGAAAGAGACTTTTACACATAAGCAGTATGATAGAAGTTAATTTTCCACATGTACCTTCATTCAAGTATACTGTACTGTCACCAGCATTCTCTTGTTGCACCATAACAGCTATCGAGGACAAAGAGATAGTGCCTTAACACTATGATGTAGCTTTGTGCGTAAACTAATGTGAATGGGCTACAACTGTACTTAACATCGTTGGAAGAAAGAGTTCCTACCAGGAAGTGTATTTGAAACTAGGATTTAAGAACCTCAATTTTAGTTTAGAATGATGCTGTGCCAACTGTTGGTTATACATTCCTGTAACCATCAAAATTTCCATTTCACAGTCAAAATACTTCCTTATTCTTTGTATATGAGAAAGTAAAACAGAGTAAACAAATACTGAACTTCAAGAAATTCCCCATTTTTATGAAACCTGAATGTTCTCTACCATAGATTGTACCAAAAATGCTGACCAGTGGTTTTCAGATTGTTCTCTGTGGAAGCAGACAAATGACAGATTTTAATTTTATAATTCTTTAGTAAATGTTATGATTTAAGAGAAACATAATTGTTTTAATTGTGTGACACACTGATTGGCACTGATTCTAGCAAACTGTATTTATGAAACTACCCATATCTAACAGGCCTTGCCATATGGGCATACAATACTAATAAAGAGGTATCCACAATGCATTGTCGCATTTACTGCAGCTCACTGCACCGACATTAATTCATTGCCTAGAATCAGTACTTTAGTTTTATACAAGATCTAGTGACATTAACACAGCAGAATTCTGAGGAATAAATAAGTAGTGTTTACTTACCTTCAATTTGGCCGCACCATAGCTCAAGTGGTTAGTCGCTGGCTTCCCATCGTGGCGGCCTGGGTTCGATCAAGTGGGATTTGTGGTGGACAAAATGGCGCTGGGGCAGGTTTTCTCCAAGTACTTCAGTTTCCCCTGCCAATCTTCATTCCACCAACTGCTCTACAGTCACCCTCATCTATCATCTGGGGCCGGTACAGTAGGCCAGAAGTGGCCGCAGTATGAGTACAAGGGACTTAGTCTCACCCCACTAGCAATAAAAAGAAAAAAGGGGGGGGGGAAGAAAGAAAAAGCACACAAGGTAATGTACAGAGTTTATCACAATATTTTCACTGCTCAGACATTACCTTATGGAGACAATCTGAGAAATATAAGTGATGCTCTCAAAAGTCTATGTGATTTCATTTTTAATAGACAATTATTGTATTTTTAAATATTTTTCTTCTTTGTCACATTATGTCTTTTGTGATACAGTAGGATGCCTTCTCACAAGTACTTTTCTTGTCCAATCAAGCAGCACATTATTGATTTGATTTCACGAGGTAGTCACACGACAACTTTTTGAAGACATTCATTCAGTGACTATTGTAACCACCATATGTGCTCATCAATATGTTCATGGCACTGTACACTGCTCTCCCAAATCAGGAAGACCATAGTTAATATGGTGGAGGAACTGTCATGGTATTGGACCTTTAGCAGAAATTGACAGCATTATGAAGCAGATGCACTTCAACGATATCCTCAAGAAGGTTATACTTCCCCATTCCAGAAACAAAATACCTCATGGTTGGGTTTCCTAACATGATAATGACCCAAAACACACCCCAAAGCTCCTCCAAGACTGTTTGCTCCAAAGAAACTACATGTTTTGAAATGGCCTCACAATCCTGTGACTTCATCCTGATTGAACACCTTTTGGAATGAGCTTGGGAGACATTCGAAGGTTGCAAGCCATCAAATACACAGGAATTCTTAGATATATTTTGCATGATGAATGGCTGAAGATTTCCCTAAGCATTCTGCTAAACCTGGCTGACTCAGCATCACATTAATGCCAAACAGTCATTGTCATTAAGGACTTCCAGGCAAATTGCTAGTATCATTTGTTAATTTTCTTTAGTTATTTTACAAGATGGCTGAAGTACACATTTTTATAATTAAAAAACAAAATGGATGAAGACCTCTGAGTGTATCACGTTCATGTTTTTCTACCTGTTTCTCCAGAAGGTCACATACAGCAGTAAGTACAGTGATAAACCATGCATATTACCTTGTGTGCTTTGTCCATACTTGGCATCTAATGGAAATCTCTAACAAAAGCTACACTTAAGAAACCAAATGGACAAAGACTTTTGACAGGTATTGTATTAAAGTTCTGAACTGCTGTTTCTGCCTTTCTACTGTCACTGTATAGAACAAACCCCCAAATAAAAGCAAATACAGAAATTATGTAGCATCAAATGAACAATGAGAGGATCTTTAGGAATAGGAAGGCGGTAAGGATGTGGAAAACTGGCAGTGCACCATCCACATGGTGACGAGTTAGGCTAAGAAGATAAACCTATCTTCAGACTTTATACTATAAGCTTACACATGGCAGAAGACCAGAGAAATATAGCATACATTCACAACACAAAATGGTATTCTCCACTGAAGTGAAGAAAAGTCTTCACTGAATACCAGACACCTTTAAAGTCTTGAACACATAAAAATCAAACCAGACTGATGAATTAATCAGTAGGGCATGAACTGACTTTAACCTGACATAGGTAGGTGAAACTTCAGAGTAAAACAAATAGGTAAAATGTTCTGCTCCATGTTTGGCCAAGTGCAGTGTCAGAGGTGAAAATGCAACTGGGGACAGAGAGCTTCATAACCTGTCAGTTCATGAGACTGTGACAGAAATGGGCACTGATAGATGACAAAAGGGCATCAGTTTAATGGTGACTGGAATGTAAAACTGAAGTAGTCTGAGAACTTACATTTCCCCCCTCCAGAAATCTACCCCATGCCACTTTGAATACTGCAATTCTCTTGTGAACTGTCCTGAGATTGAACCAGTGGTGAAAATCCAGTATCTCATCATGTAATCCATTGCATGGTCCCTGTGTACACATTTACAGGAACTTACAAAGACTAAGTCATTCATCTCACTATACTAAGGTCACATGGGTGGCAGGGATATGGTGGAGACTTCCTTCTCTCTGCATACTGCTCTATATTCCTCTGGTCCCCTCCAGACTATGACAATCAGCACAAAGTACAGGGTGGGGTGCAGAAACTTCCTTTTTGTGAAGACGCATTGTGAAGGGAGGGAAGGTCGCAGAAAAGTGGGGATATGCTCGGTGAATGCAGCAGTCGTGGAAGTTTCTGTCTAATACCCCTCAGTAGGAAATATGAGGTGGGTGAGTGAGCAGCGTGTGTTTGCTGTCGAAGTCTATTTTTCGAACAACCATTCCTACATTGCGGTGCAGCATGCGTTCCGTACTCACTTCGGAATTAAGCCCAGAGGTTCAGTTCCCAACCGGAAATCGATTGTTTTGTGGGTAGAGAACTTTAGGACAACCGAGAGTGTGGTGAAGAAATCATCAGGACGACAACAGACCGTTACGACGCCAGAAAATGTGAATGCAGTTCAACAGTCGATTTTGAGATCTCCAAGATGCTCCGCTCACAAACATGCATTCGCCCTAGACATATCGAATCATTCAATGCGCTGAATTCTTCATGAACATCTTCATTTCCATCCCTATAAGATGGTTGTTGTGCAAGAATTGTCACCACGTGATTTCCAGAACCGAATAACGGCGTGTGAAATATTATTGGAAAATTTACCCCCTGACGCACTTGTTTTCTTTAGTGATGAGGCACATTTTCACCTATCCAGCTATGTCAACAAGCAGAATATGTGCTATTGGAGTGGTAACAATCCCAGAGAGCTCCATGATAGGCCACTTCACAGTGATAAAGTCACAGTATGGTGTGTGTTGTTGAGAGTTGGAGTTATTGGCCCTTATTTTTTTTGAAGAAGACAATCATGCAGTTACTGTCAATTCACAGCGGTATGTGGACATGATTAAAAAGTTTTTCTAACCAGCTCTTGAAGAAATGCATCTAGGAAATGTCTGGTTCCAATAGGATTGTGCCATAGCCCACACAGCCCGAGCTTTGGTGACAGTGTTGAGGGCAAAGTTCCCCGGACGGCTCATCTCGCTTCGAGGTGACATCCCATGGGCAGCACACTCACGTGATCTAACGCCCTGTGATTTCTTTATGGGGATACCTCAAGGCAGAGGTTTTTAAACATTGCCCCACAAACCTACTTCAGCTGAAGAATGTTATTCGGCAGGAAGTAGCCCAAATTCTGGTGCACATGTTGGAACATGCAGAGGGGAACTTCAGAAAACGGTTGCATCAGTGCATAGAGAACGATGGCCACCATATTCAAGATATTTTGTTTAAAACTACATGATTTAAAACTTTAAAGTATGTTCTTTCATTAGCTAAACATAAATTTTGTCTATCAGCAATAATTTTTCTTTTATTCGCCTTCAAAAAAAAGGAAGTTTCTGCGCCCATGCTGTACTTATTACTACCAACATTCATATATGCAGAATGGCTGTAGGGGCAAGTACAACAGCTCAAGGGAGATGTGGAGGGGATCAATAGCCAAGGCTTCATATGGCATCAGTACTGTCACTAATCGGCAAACTCTCAGTTTATGGCATTGTTTTAGAAACCTGAGCCTTTCATGTGGGTTTCTTATATACAACTAGATATATCATTTCAGACACCATGCTATGTGCGAAATCTTTTGGCATGCAAAAGATAAGTTATCCAAACAAAGTTTCAGAAACATTCTTTTGCCATGAATGTGATGGTTCAGCCACTCTCATTTAATTAGCATTTGAACTCAATATTAAAACATTAAACATATGATGAGTAGGAGGCCAGTTCATACTGGTAACAAAGAAACATACTGAGACTTACAATTAATACTACCATCAGAGAAAAGAACTGATAAAAGTCACCATAACCATCATAAAGACCCAAATAAACCTCTCTATATTTTTACAGTTTGGCTGCAATAATGCGCCTCCCACATAACTGTAACTTGGTCATATCTTGTAAGGCATCTTAATGGTCACTGTCTTCACTTCAAGGTACTCCTTTAAGGAATCTTCTCCCCTAAAGTAAAAAATAAAATAACACATAAAGGTGGTCAATTCACTATAGTGGATCATGTATTCCAATACAAGTGTAGTGCTTATACAAGCTGCCTAAAACTTCTAAAAATTAGTAGGATTTGAAGTTCTCTCAGTGGTGGCTATGAAGAATTCTGTCTTCTTGGATATAATGCTATGTAGTCGACTTAAAATCAACCAACATTTCAAAAGGAAAAGTTGCCTCCATCTTCAGGATTGAAGAATATGCCAGGCGAGAAACCAGCATGAAGCAAGCAGTAAGCAGAGCCAATTTTGTCTTACTCATAATATAAAAACATATACACTTTTCTCATAATGTTCCATTGCTTTCATCTCAAATAGCTTTGGTTTTATTAGCATTTAACAGGGCAGAGAGCACTACAATCAATTTGCTTCTTACCACACCCAGTCAGTGTCTACATTAGTAGGCCAGCACTAGGCTCTTTTATAAGAACCCTTCAGTATTTAATGCATTATCTTCAATTGGACACAGTTATACAAGAGAGAATCAACCACCAAATTTTAGACTTTTGGTTTTATGTTACAAAATGTATTTCAATGTGTACTTTCCACTACAAAAAACAGAATAATCTTTCATGTGTACTGTGTGCCCACAGTATTGAAGGGGGAACTGACTACCAGCAGAAGAATTTAACAACAGAGATAAGCAAGAAAGAATCAATTCCATTCAAGAGTGGACTGTTGTATCTTTCTACTGGTGTGCATTATGTTTTCTGTATCTTCTTTATATTGAATGCATTCTGGTAGTATTAAAAGTATTTAACAACATACCTAATTATACAGTAATATTTTTTCATATGGAAAAATACCTAGTTTCTGTGTGTTTGAAGAAAAATATTGAAGGAAGAGTTTTGAAGTTAGTGTTATGTTTACTTTATTTTGTACAGTAAAAATATTGCCGAATGGAATGAAACATAACTAATTTGCCAGACTTACAATTTTTCTGTCACTAACAATGAACTTACTTTTTGTACTATAGGTGGAAAAAATGAAATTGTGTCATTTGCTTCTAAAGTAGATTTTGAAGACACCAGTGGATGTCAAAGTGAAAATACAGAGACCAAGAAAATGAAAGAAACAGAAATATGGTGGTTTGGCAAGAAAACGAAGAAAAATGAGAAGAAATTCAAATAAAAGATATAAAAACGTGCAGGAATAGTTGCCGAACCCGAGATATTGAGAATATTTATATGTAGCTGCAAAAAGAAAGACAATATTAATGTTAAGTGTAGATGACAGCAAAACATGTTTTAGCAGTTCTGGAGAGTACGTGACTGCAGTGTCCAAAAATTGTGATAGTTGCAATGGTCAGGCAGAGGGGGAAAAGCAAAAACAAACAAATTCATGCACAGCAGAATGTATACAAACAAAGGAACTGAGATATGCAGGACCTCCATCCATCAGACACTGCACAGTTCAGACAAGAGAACAAATATTGCCATGAAGAATCTGTGATCAGAATCAATCAGAGAGAAAACCGCAGAAGTGCGACATCATGTAGCATAAACAAGTTCCCAAAGTATGTAACTCACTACAGTAGAAAATATACCAGATGTAAATGTTAAAAAGATGGACAAATCATATGAAAGAGAATAAAGCAATACTGTCTCATTAAACAAGTTAAACAAGTATTTCTTCAGTGTTTTAATCTGACAACAAAGAGATTCAAGGTGGATACATGCAATATTTGTGACACAGAAATTAAGTCTGCATGACATAGAACTATGAAACTAGGACTGAAATAGGAACACAAGTCCTTTAGATAAGACTAAAGAAGCACAGAAACACTGCAGAGAGGATATGATGCATGCTCCAGATTCTTGCTCTTAATTGTATGGAAAAGATGTATAATTTTATATTTCACGTTTTTCCAACAATTGCTGAAGCTGAAAAAGAGTATTCAAGAGTTGGTTCCTTCCTGCATAACACCATCCAATTATGTTACATGACCTGACTATGAGTTGGTCTATATCCATAAGGACAACTTGTAAATATGGTACTTACAATTCTCTGCCAAAACCAGACTGCTTGTAGCCACCAAATGGAGCTTGTGGTGTAACTGCATCATAACAGTTAACCCTGGAAAATGTAATGTTTATGTTTATTGTGGAACTTAAGATTAAGTGCAAGTGCATTTGATCCTAGTTTATCAGAATCTGTTTTGTGTCCTTGAACTCAAGAATTCCTTTCTTTATGGAGGCCTTGTTGTAAATGTTTTAGAGCACTTATTTATATAGAGATCATATTGTAAGAACCAACCCTCAAGCTTATTGCTGTAGAAAATGTGCATTGATACTGCTTACCAAACAGAGCCAGCATGGACAGACTGAGCAAATATCAGCGCCGTGTTGATGTCCTTTGTAACAATTCCTGCTGCCAGCCCATAGCTAGTATCATTTGCTCGCTCTATTGCTTCCTCAAGTGTTTTGAATTTGATTATGGATTGCACAGGACCAAAGATCTGAAGAAATAAGATAAAATCTCAAATACAATGTTAACGCTTTACTAACTACATGGTGAAAAATATTTTTTCAGAAGCAGGTAGTTATTCAACTGCTCAATAAATTCCTATTGTTATGAAACCCAAAGAGTACAAAATGTTCATAAATCTTTACCAGTGAACCACATCATGAAACAGTACAATCCAGTTTAATTTTTCACAACATATTTCTCAAAAATCCATTTTAATATCAATTTCCCATCTATGTCTCTTCTCTGAAATGAAATCTTAATTTTTGTGTTTTGAACCAAACTACTGTATACATTTCTTTTGACTGCTATCTCAGTCAGTTTAACTTCTTCATTTAATCACTCTGTTAGATGTAGAGCAAAAAATATAAAGCTCCTATGATGTAGTTTTTGCCACTTGTTTTCCTACATGATCTCTCACTAGAAGTTTATGTTACTTTTTTAAATACAAAGTTTGGCATAGTTTTGTAAGTTTCTCATTAGAAGATAACTAAGCAGAAACCTGAATAAACGTTTCAAATAGACATTGGTATCTATGGTTATCTATGTGATTTCTGTAGTTGTGTTTGGAACATTTCGTTTTTCATTCTCGTTAATGCTAAACAATGTTCAAACGTTGCTCAGGCCTCTCCAATGGCCTTTAGAATTTAGAAAAAATCAATTTAGGTTTAAATTAAGTTATAACTGCCTAAATGAATTTTTATCAGGAATCATATATGATTACTTTGATTGACAGAGAGTTACAAAGAAACAAACACACCATTCTTGAGAGTCATTGGTTCACAACATTTTCAATCTTAAGGAGTTCTATTTATTATTCTACACATGATTTCACTTTCAATGTTAGGAGCATGGGTCATTATAGTGACTAATGTGGTCTTACACTAAACTGTTCAGGTACAAACAGAGGAGGCCAATGAACAACTGAGGCTAGTCAGCTCAATCAATCAAAGAAACGCAAATTGTGTATTTCTAATATATAAGTAAAAGTTCTGACTATAGCGAAGACAACTTTGAAAATTACTTTCATAAAAACATTGTAACCATTACATTATTCATAACCTTCACTTTTCTGATGAATTTTTTTTCAAATGCTGCACAAAACTCCTGAATATAATCATGAACTTTTATCTGTCTGCAAACTGACATAGAAATCAATCTTTTTGAAACACTGAAGATTTCCTTCTATGTGCCTGGACTTTCTAACACAGTGAAGTGTAGCAGTGTTTATGATAATGTAAGTTTCTACTTTATGCATTTAAATTGCTCCAGTGATTTTTATATAAATTGTTGATTTATAATTGTTTGGGTTTAAACCATAAAAAAGCCATTGCATTTTAAACACTTCTGGTGACGCTGACTTAGAACCTTCAAAAAAAGAACTCTCACCTCTTCCTTGGCTATTCTCATATTATCAGTTACATTAGAGAACACAGTAGGTTGAATGAAGTAACCCTCTTTACCCCAGCGATCTCCTCCACATTCCAATTTTGCTCCTTCAACCTTGCCAGCCTCGATCAATGACAGTACTTTGTTGAACAATTTGTCATCCACCTGAAAAATATTGAAGCATAAGAAAATCTCAGGATAAATCAAACATGTGTACCCTCACAAAACATTTCATGCAGATGAAATGTGTGTGTGTGTGTGTGTGCATGCACACATGCATACACAGCAAAAATGATCTACTGGATTACCTGTGGACCTTGTTGAATGCCATCAGCAAATGGGTCGCCAACCTTCCTGTTTGTTGCTTCAACTACAGCCTTTTTCACAAACTCTTCATACACATCCTCATGCACAAAGGTTCTGGAGCCAGCACAGCAGTTCTGACCATGATTATTAAAGACAGCTCCATGTGCAATTTGTACTGCTTCGTCCACTAATATAAAAAGATGATAAAAGAGTTTTAAATGATGCTACCCCGAAGTTGTATATTTTAACATGGCAGTGAGACAAGCTTCAAAATGGAAGCAATAATAGTGCCATTCAGTGTAATATCTTGAAGTGTTGTCAGATGCAGTTTTCCATCTAATGTGCAACTTCTGTTAAGACCTTTATCTCATTAGACAGAAAATAATGATGAACCACTGCAGCTAGGTACACAAGACGCAGAAATGAGGGAGGTGGTAAACATGTCTACAAATATTGTATGAAACGTTATTCTGAAAGTTAGAAACACATGCTTCTTAATAAAATGTACAAATCTTGAAGATTATGTTTACAAAGAGTTGGAAACAACATACAATAAGTCAAAGCTTGCTTATCTGCTTGTTTCAGAGGACATTTTCACCCTGTTCAAGCAGTGGAATTTTTTACCAAAATGCAACACATGCCAAATGTGGAAAATGCCATCACTACATGGTGACACATGACATTACATTCTACAAGGCACTATTGTTCAGTGACTGCCATGAGAACCTGAAGTCCTACACTGGAAAGCAGTATTTCCTAGATCTCTTTCTTCTGCACATAGTTGTGTAATGAGGCTACAGATAAAAGGAAAAGCAAATTATACTAATTTTTCATTATAATAGGAAAAACATTAGTACTGTCAAGACTAAATACTACTAAGTATCTTTGTCATTTCAAAGCCTAGAGTAAAAGAGCCTGTATTTATTCAGGAAAACTGAAGCTTCTGGGGCATGTAGAGGCATAGATACTTTGATGCATACACATAGTAAAGACACTTATTTTAATACATGTATATACAAACCATCTGCATCAGAACATATGACTAAAGGGCTCTTCCCTCCCAGCTCCAGTGATACTCGTTTCAAGTTAGATTTGGCTGCAGCTGCCAAGATTAACCTACCAACCTGAAAAACACTAGCAGTAATAAGAGAGGGCACCAGGAAATGGAAGTAGGCAAGCAGAGACTTATTACCAGGTATTGATATTGATGTCACAGACAACTGTGTTGATTAAATAATGAAATACAGAAAAAAATCAACTAATATAAGAAGCAATAATCATGACTACAATGTTATTAGGTACTGTCTTCATAAATAGAGTCACAGTAAACCAACTGATATCACTGTGAAAAAGTTTTAATTTTTGCACTGACTCTGAATGTCTGTGTTGTGTGTGGCATATTTACATACTTCTCCAGTCATACTGATTTCAAGAAAGTGAAATAACCACTATCAGGGTAGCAGTTTTGTAGGAGTGATCACATTAAATATATTTACTATTTAAGCTGTAATGCCATTGTTAGGCTTAGAGGTTCATTTGAACTTAAGTTTCTGCAGAGATTCTACTATGTTATTTTGTAACATTTATTCTTACTAAACTTTATCACTTAATGAAGACAAGTTTGAGAGGAACAAATCTTTTCTGTTACATAGCCCTACTTTCTCCATCCATAGGGTTAGAGAATGGAACAGATGCAAGCAGTTAAGGCACTAACCTGGACAAAGTGGCATTGTGGATATATATTCATTAATCAACACTCAATACTGACAGTATTGCCCCCCCACCAAAAAAAAAAAACAAACAAACAAACACTGTTCTCACCCCAACCATGAATACCTATGCTAGCAAAGTTTGAACAGTTCCCCAGAGAAAGTCTACAAATCTTTGACCATTTTTGGCACATCACCATTAGTTTATACACTGGATTATTTCTGAAAATTAAAAGCTTTCCTTACTGACTTTATCTAACTGTAGCTAGGACTATAAAAACTGTCTTGAGAAACCATGATAATTAAATAAGGTAAAAAAAGTTGCCAGACTGGATGTAAGGTGATATTAACATAGTTCGTATGATAGGTCGATGATAGGAGCAAATAATTTTCTAAATCACCATTGTTTTCAAAATTATGGACTGTGCCACTCAGAAGTGATGGACTGCTATGTGTTTTGTTATAAAAGATTTTATCAACAAAAAAGTTGTATAAAATTTGATGAGTAATGATTTGCTGGGCTGTCTCCAGAAAGCCAATTAATGTACATATATGTTTATTTAATAACAGCATTTTCTATAAAATTTCACCAAAATCCATTACCAACAGAACTGCTGAAACTTGTTCATATACTGATAGACATACAAAATTTCTCCAAAAGACTGTCTATAACACACTTGCTGTGTATGTGAATGTGCATGTGTGTGTTAGGCCAAATCCAAGCTGTTCATATATCATGTGTAAGGAGGTTGTCTTCCTCACCTCTGTGGAACCAGTGAATGCTACTTTGTTGATGTCTGGGTGGGATGAAATGGCAGCACCTGCAGTAGGCCCATAGCCTGTCAGCACATTTATGACACCTGTAGGGAAACCAGCCTGTAAAAGATCAGACCATACTTCTCTTCTAAACGCAATCACTATAGAAAGATGGCTGAGCAGTACTACAAACATAGTGGTCTTATTTCTTACTGAAAACCATCACAACACATCAATCAATAGTGATCTTAATTGATCTTAATAGTCAAAGACATACATTATTTTGTTAACCCATCATGTCCTAATACCTAGCCTGGCTTCTAGTGACTGTGAAACCCAGTACAAACAAAACAAATTCCAACTCACTGAACTTTTTCATGTAGTCTTAGCTGTATGGTCACAAAGGTATGTTCACAGCTATGATCATGCAGGAGAAAAGAAAATATATCCATGTTGTTGGGCATTTTCTGTCATCTTAGCAGCAACCTTGTATGGCCAGTAGCAAGAATCTGAATGTGGTTCTGAAGACTATGACTTGTAAACTGGTCTGGTATCATTATGAAGGTTATTTTCCTTGTCTTACTAAGAATTATATTCAGCATTTTGGAAAGCAGCTCTGTCTCCATCTTCAGAAGAAGGAAGGGTTGCCTATTCTCTGTGGCTCTTTAGCTCTAGATGTATCTAACTAACCTCAGCCTTAGGATGGGGACAGATTATCTAAAATGTAACATTACATATGTATTTACATTTAGCCATGGAGAAAACTGTGTAACACAGTCAGAGCAGTGATTAGGATATGGGCATATAACCACAGAATTAGGGTTTAATTCCTTGTGGAGGACAGAGATTTTTCTCCTTGCTATCATGAGATGCTTTATGGGGCTAATTAATGTAACACCTACCAGAGGCTCTTTCGTGAAGGTAAAGCAGCCAAGATGCAGCTCTGACTATTTACCTCTACGTAATGCCAAAGATTATGAAAGCCTGAAATTATGCTATTTATAAATATGCTAAAGCTCACATCAGGCTGAATTGCCAATTCTACACCTTGTTGTTTATTTATGGAATGGACAACATCCAATATATACAGGGTGTCCCAGGAGGAATGGACCAAACTTCGGGAGGGTGTGCCTTATGTTAAAGTATGCCGATATAACCCAAAACACCTATGTCCAAAGTTGAACGGTTACGGAGATAATGGCCCGAGAAAAGTGTGGTCTTCTGGCGGGTCCACGCACTATACCTGTCAGCTGAGACCTCGTTATCTGTTTGTCCTTGAGTGTCGTGATTCACACTAGCCATAAGCTCATGCGCTACATACAGAATACGTTGCGGCGGGGTCGTGATTAGTTGTGTGATGAGTTGCTGAAATGCCTCTTGTGTTTTCACACGTGGAATATTGTGATATGCATTTTGTGTGTGGATTTTGCGGTGGCAATGCACGTGCTGCTGTTGAAGAATACCAAAGGCGTTTTCCTGATCGAA